CATTGTAACATTGCAATCTAAAAACAAAAATAAGGTTTTTAAAGCGGAAGTTAAATTCACTAAACTAAAAATGAAAATAAATGAGAACAAAAGCACAGTGTTGTGTTAGGCTATTTTGATTACAGTCACTTTACAGTCAGTGCTATCATAAAAATAGACTTACTTGGTTTAAAATTCTACATGTCACATTTATTGTCCAACTACAAATATTTCAGTGAAATGTAAATTTTAGTCAGAACTATTGCGTTCCTATTTAATTGAGCTCTGTCTGTTTGGGTGGCGCATGTTCACCGAAGTCTGTTAAGTTTAGCGGAGAATCGCAAAGCAGAAGGCTCATGCACTCCTGACAGAAAAATTGAAATATTTCCATGGCTTTCTAACATTTACAGATGGAGAATATACCTGTGAAATGTAAGTTATGCATTCAGGAGGACAGCACATCTCAAACACATTAAACAGCGCGAGTAGCCTAGTGTCTCTGTAAGCGGCACACGCATCTTTCTGTCAGAGCATAGCCTATGACGGGCCGAGCCGCTTAAACTATGCAAAACTATAAACTATACCACGTCTTACCAGTTTTTAAAGGCCTTGATATGAAGCTTGTCACATGTTTAGAACAAACTGGATTATGCACTTTCTCCGCAGCAGCTCAGTCTGTGTCCTCGCTATATTTTCAGATGCACTCGTATCAAACTACTTTATATCAATATAAACGGTACTGCCTCATATCGTATCGCTTATAAAGAAATTATCGATATATATCGTAGCAAACTGGATATATCGCCCAGCCCTAATATAGTTAATAACTGTGACCAAGTAGAAAGTGAAAAAAAAGAAAATGAAAACAAACAGCATACCACAGAAGTGAACATATCATGATGGTTAAAACAGCATTACAGTTCCTCAAAATATCCAGAATATTGTGTTTTTTCTCCCTCATTTTTGCTGCTTCTTCAATCTAAGGAAACATAAAAAGCATCAACGAAACTGAAGCATTGAGAAGCAAGTCTGTGTTTATTTAGGGCCTGTTTGACTAAATTTCATATGTATTACAGACCTCAAGTGCATGGAAGTGTTACCTCAGAGGCAGTGAAGATGACTTCAGGTGTGGTGAGCTTGTTCTGTTTAGCTGCGCGTCTCAGTATGGCTTCAGCCTCTGCGATTCTTCCCTGAGAGAGCAGCCATCTAGGAGACTCTGGAATAAACCTGGTGCATGAAAAACAGAACCAAAACACAAATACTGTAGTTTTCTTACTGGTTTAGTTTCAGGGAACCTGGTGTAACGCCCCTGTGGACTGTTTATTGTGGTTTCTTCCCCTTTTGTTGGTTTAGCCCGTACTAATTATTAGTTAATCACCTCATTGTGCTCACCTGTCTGCCCCTCGTTATCTGCCCTATATTAGTTCCTGTCTCTGGTATTCTGGTTTGTTGGTTATTGTGAATGTTACCCCGAGTGTGTGTGTCTCACCTTCCTGAATCTGCCTTGTTGTGTCTACATTAAAAGTAATTCTTGGAATCCTTGTCGTCCTCGTCGTCCTGCCTCCACACACCGTGAACGTGACAGAATAACCGACCCCTAAGTAAAGTATAGCGGTATAGCATAATATATTTATATATATAATAAAGTATAGCATAATATATTTTTTTGTTATGGATTACCCCGCCTTCCAAATCCTCCTGCTGGAGCAGGGGGAACGCTCTCTTGAGCACCACACGGATGACTTTCTGTCCCTGGCTCACCTCACGCACTACCCGGACAACTGCCTCTGTACATTCTATCAAGTGGGACTTAACGCCACCACACGAGCGCAGTTGTCCGGGGATGGTCCTCGAGAGAGCCTCGCCACCTTCATCGAGTGGGTGCTGGTGTCCTGCAAGTCCCATCTGACCGTGGACATCGCTGACAACAACACCAGCCCTACTCAGGACCCTGAGCCCAGCCCACCATCTCCCCGCGGTACGGCCACCGATGACGGAGAGCCATTTCTCGCCGCAATCCACGAGCCGGAGCGAAGCCCCGCGGCTGAGAAGAGGATCGCCTCGGATATTGAGCCCAACACGTCAGACCAGGTGCGAGAGCCGGCGACAGTGCCCACCACGAGGGAGCAAGCCATGGACGGTGTGAGCGCGGAGAGGAGCTCCGCCCCCTGCATCATGGCTGAGGGTGAGCTGACTATGGCGGGACATAAGGGCCAGAATATGGAGGGAATT